TATAATTTTTATGTTTTGATTCAACTTGTTTCTGTACTTATTTGATGATTCCAATTCCCGTTTTTAAATTAACAATTTTAAATTATCTTGTTACTTAAGTTTTGTATGTCCATATGTCCACATGTGTATATACATTCAGTTGAATGTTACATGTTTTTCAACAATTTACTGCTCTATTGGCTTTTATTTTTCACACAACCATTATTTACTGAGCCAGGTGGTTTTGTGCCTGAGGTTTCTTGTAAACACGCGTTTAACAAGCGTCGAGTACAAAGGAAGCCGCTCACAACAACATCACATATATTATGTATTTATAGCCACGTAAATCAACTTTCAATGGAAAATAATCAACCTTTAAATAGGTCATGGACATTTGTAGTGTTTCATACAGTATATCTGTCTAGGTTTTGGTGCAAAATACCCAGCCAATTTTGCCGTCTAAGTTACACAAATTATTTTCCATGTAATGTGCATTATTAAAACACCAGATTTTTTCAGTGGAAGAAAGTGAAGGACTTAGAGAAATTCTTCAGGGCGAAAAAATGAAGGCGCTTTAATTATTTTTAAAACTATTCTATGGCATACTCAATATTGCATTCATTACTATTGTCCAAGTTTCAGCAAATATTCGTATCAAATTTTTCTGTAGTGGCTTCTAAAACTATAATCGGTAATAATAAGGCTGGAGACACTGTTATAAATTTACAATTGGTTTACTCTAATAAAACGAAGCATTTCTGACTAGTATAATACAAAGTATTTCTGACTAGTATAATACAAAGCATTTCCGACTAATATAAGTTTAATGGTGCTTAAATCGCTTCCACGTTTCAGCAAAGAAGAACTTAGAAAATTTTAAAGGGTGGAAATCTCGACTTTTAATAATCAAATTAAAAATAGCTCTGCAACTTTCGAAGGACTTTGTTTAGTAGCTGTGCATAGATTTTGGCGCAATATACCTTGCCGTTTTTGCTGTAGCCTTCGGTACTTGAATGGCTACGAAGAGAAACTTGGCCAGCAGTGATGAAAAACTGATAAAATATCTACTTCTCTTTCAAGTATCACCATGAAAATACTTCTGTGACCTGCACAGGGGTTTTTCAGTTGGTTTGGCCAGGTTTGAATAAAATATTCACAGCCGTTTTTCTGTAGGCTTGTGAAATAAGAATGATATGAATAATAACAACAATATGAAGAACAAAGAGATGAATTTTGTCTAACAATCGGAAAATTAACTTTTTTGTTATTATCAATATTTTAGCAGCCTTAGTCATTGAGATAGAAGGTCTTGAGTGTTGTTTCAAGAATAAGTCTGCTTTAAGATGGTTTTTGACCGTATGTTTTATTAGAATTTGGGGGAAATTCCTGTGCGATTTTTAATCGAAAAATCATTTTGTTACTGCATATTTTGGGGTTTCACTAAAGTTCACTACCACCTTCTTTCAGTTGGAATAAATACGTTTTGCATACCAACTAATAGTAAGTTATTTTAAATATAAAGTAATATCTACAAAAAACAAAACAAACTAATACTGATCCTAAAATCTACAATTGAATAGGATTATAGAAGAGTGTCCAGTATAGAGTGTACCTTTATATACTAATTTTACCATTATAGAGTATACCTTTATATAATAATTTTCCCATTATAGAATGTACATTTATAAAATTATTTTACTAGTATAGAGTGTACCTTAAAATAATAATTTTACCATTATAGAGTATACCTTTATATAATAATTTTACCATTATAGAATGTACATTTATAAAATTATTTTACTAGTATAGAGTGTACCTTAAAATAATAATTTTACCATTATAGAGTATAATATAAAGGTACACTCTATACTTGTAAAATAATTATATAAAGGTACATTCTATAATGGTAAAATTATTATATAAAGGAAATAATTTTACAAGTATAGAGTGTACCTTTATATAATAATTTTACAAGTATAGAGTGTACCTTAAAATAATAATTTTACCATTATAGAGTATACCTTTATATAATAATTTTACCATTATAGAATGTACCTTTATATTATAATTTTACCATTATAGAATGTACCTTTATATAATAATTTTACCATTATAGAATGTACCTTTATATAATTATTTTACAAGTATAGAGTGTACCTTTATATAATAATTTTACCATTATAGAGTATACCTTTATATAATAATTTTACCATTATAGAATGTACTTTATATAATAATTTTACCAGTATAGAGTATACCTTTATATAATTATTTTACTAGTATAGAGTGTACCTTAAAATAATAATTTTACCATTATAGAATGTACCTTTATATTATAATTTTACCATTATAGAGTGTGCCTTTATATAATAATTTTACCAGTATAGAGTATACCTTTATATAATAATTTTACCATTATAGAATGTACCTTTATATTATAATTTTACCATTATAGAGTGTGCCTTTATATAATAATTTTACCAGTACAGAGTATACCTTTATATAATAATTTTACCATTATAGAGTATACCTTTATATAATAATTTTACCATTATAGAATGTACCTTTATATTATAATTTTACCATTATAGAGTGTGCCTTTATATAATAATTTTACCAGTATAGAGTATACCTTTATATAATAATTTTACCATTATAGAATGTACCTTCATATAATTATTTTACAAGTATAGAGTATACCTTTATATAATAATTTTACCAGTATAGAATATACCTTTATATAATAATTTTACCATTATAGAATGTACCTTTATATAATTATTTTACCATTATAGAATGTACCTTTATATAATTATTTTACAATTATAGAATGTACATTTATATAATTATTTCACCATTATAAAATGTACCTTTATATAATAATTTTACCATTATAGAATGTACCTTTATATAATTATTTTACGAGTATAGAGTGTACCTTTATATAATAATTTTAAAAGTATAGAGTGTACCTTTATATAATAATTTTACCATTATAGAGTATACCTTTATATGATAATTTTACCATTATAGAGTATGCCTTTATATAATAATTTTACCATTATAGAATGTACCTTTATATAATTATTTTACGAGTATAGAGTGTACCTTTATATAATAATTTTAAAATTATAGAGTATACCTTTATATAATTATTTTACAAGTATAGAGTGTACCTTTATATAATAATTTTACCATTATAGAGTATACCTTTATATAATTATTTTACAAGTATAAAGTGTACCTTAAAATAATAATTTTACCATTATAGAGTATACCTTTATGTAATAATTTTACCATTATAGAATGTACTTTTATATTATAATTTTACCATTATAGAATGTACCTTTATATTATAATTTTACCATTATAGAATGTACCTTTATATTATAATTTTACCATTATAGAGTGTGCCTTTATATAATAATTTCACCAGTATAGAGTGTACCTCTATATAATAATTTTTGTAATTATTTTTTGTGAAAGTAATTTAGACCGTACAAATAATATCGACCAATTATAAGTGGTTTCCTAGCATTTCTAGGCTAAATTATTGTTTTTTAATGCTGTAACTGCCAATTACACTTTCAGCGCCACCTATTGACATTATTAATAATATACAGATGCCCTGTTAATAAACTTTAATGGAATAAAAAGAATATCAAATACAGCACTAAAAAACTGCAGCGTTGCACTGAGTTACCTGTTCATCGTGATGCAGAAAATACACTGATAAAGACAAGAATTTTGTTTAAAATTGCATCACAAGAAAGCTCTTTACCTTCAAATAAAAACTATTTACTTGGATGACTTTTTTATCTTGTTTAGAGAAGTAGAAATCCTGGGAAGTTAAGCAAGAAAAAATAAAAGAGAAAACACCCAAGCCATCGTTGGTTGTCGAAGAATGTTCTGTTTTTCGTTACCAGTTAAACTTATATAACCATATATTACTGTATATGAACTTTGACCTTTTATTTATTTTTAATTCATTGATTTCAAATAGATTAAGATTTCGATTTGAGGCGTGTCCTAATTGTATAAAAACTTAAAGTTTTAAATTTTATGAATTTTTAATTTTTAATTAAACTGGTAATATGTTAAATTTCTGTCAAAGGTTGTAGCTAAGGCTTTTTTATGGAAACATATGATAACGCCGGAGAAATCCATAAAATGATATCTGATACTCGTTACAATAGTTCAATGGCAGAATAGAAAAGCTGAAGTTACTGTGTTAACGTGGCCTACGATAGGTACAATCTGTACTGCCAACAGGTCAAAATAGGGTTAATATTGAGTCACTATATACTTATTTTTAAAGTATTAAGAACATTTACTTATTGATGTCAGGTTATATGATCAGAAACGATAGGTTAGCTCAAACAGACCATCTAGTGGTTCAAATTTTGGTTTGTTTGTTGTTAAGCACAAAGTTAAACAATGAGATATGTGTGCTCTGCCCATCATGGGTGTCGAAACCCGTACCGTTGTGTCACTTGAGGAGGGGGAGGGTCTCAGTTTGGAGCCTAACTGTTGTTTTGGGCCAACATCTTTTTACATCTTTTATACAACAGCTAAATATATTGAACCATAAGAATATATTGGTTTTACAGCTATATTTGTTTAACCATAAGGCTATGCTACCCAGTGGCACAGCGATATGTCTACGGACTTACAACGCTAGAAACCGGGTTTCGATACTCGTGGTGGGCAAATCACAGATAGCCATTTGTGTAGCTTTGCTCTTAACTACAAACAAACGTTTCCACAAGGCTATCTCTTTTTTTTTTCTTTACAGCTATATCTGTTGAATCGCAAGAATATATTTGTTTTTAAAGCAAAAACTATTACACCACGTTAATACATCTGTTTTTACAGCTATATCTATTATATCATAAAATATCTTCGTTTTTGTAATTAACTACAAGAACATATTTGCTTTTAGGTATGGTAAAATCGAGAAAGCATTCTAACACATAAAACATGCAAGTTGGATGAAAAATAATTAGAGGAAAAATAATTACCACTGTCCTTCTGTTTTCGAAGTCTGTGGAAAAATCCGAAACATCCCGTCTCCCTCATCTTGGTCTTATTTCAGGAACTGTTCTTCAGGTTTTCAAATGATCATCCAACTCGGTTGTTATACTATTTAAAAAAAAAAAAAAACATAAGAAAAATAAAAACTAGCGATTATAATTAAAAGTATCAAGGGCATATAACAAAATGTGATTGTCTTTTTTTTTGTATCTTTCTGAGCAATAATAATTTTTTGGATGTTTGTTTGTGTCCCTGAACATCATATTACCCTTATAATGCAAGACCCACGTGTTTGAGGTATCACCGTTTCTAATTTGGAGCTGTGGAACAGATGAAAGGCAACCACGTGAAGTGGATACTCTTAACTGAATAGTGAGATTGACTGTCAGTCCTATAACGCATCCACAACTGAAAGTGTAACGAGCCTCGAACCGGAGATATTTGGATTCCCAGGCAGATAAGTTAACCACTCGGGCCCTTTAAGAATGACTTGTTTTAAAGACAAGTTAGACAAACGTAATTATACCATCATAGACCTCCTTTGGTTACAGTTTAGAGTTGGACGACGTTTCGGTCCATGTACTGAGATCTTAGTACATTGACCAAAACGTTGGCCATATCTGAACTTCAGTACAATTTCGTCGCATAGAAGAGCCCCTGGTGGCTCGATGGTAGGCTAGAGAATCCATAAAGTTATTGTTGGGTTCGATCTTTGCGGTGGCACAGCACAGAATGCCTTTGTAAATCTTTGCACTTAGCAAAAACACAACAGCAAACAAACCTACAGAAGACACAGCAACCAATGGAAATATCTGTTTAACTTTTGATTTAAAAGTAAAAGTGCTTGAAGTTCTTCTTAACATACATGGGCACTTTGTCAAAATTTACGCAACATACTGGTTAGTTTAACTACTGAGTTTATATTCAAAAGTTCACATTGATGTACAACCTTACAATGACTGGCAATTTTACAAGTACCTGTTAGGCGCCGTCTGTTGGAATTAATTTCACTTCGTCATCCAGTTTTCAGTGATATATATGATACGATTAGAAAACGTAAAAAAATACAATACCATTTTGGTCGACTTCAGATAAACAAAAAAGCGTTTATTTTTAAAGTGCCGTGCATCTTTGGACCTGATTTTTAAAACACAGAGGTCATGTTTTTTTTCTTGTAAACCTAATGAGTGACCTCTACTTCTTATGTGTCAATAATGGGTTTTCGTTCATGTTTACGATGGTTTGTAAGTATGTTAATTTCTTTAGTTTCGCTGTAAAACGTTTTCTATTTTTGTATAGAACTGTAAATTATTTACAGTATTTACATAGACAATATTAAAGCTTTTAAGTAGGTTTCAAGTTTCCTCTTTGTAGGACGGAAGAGTGGTACTAAACCATGAAACCGGTATCAACCAAAGATAAGTTAAATAAAAAGGTATTTCAAAGATCCAGTGGTTGTTTTTAATGCATTTGCATTTTTACGAGTAATTATAGAGGGTTTTTTTGTGTTTGATCATGCGTTATATTGATGGAGTTATTTTTTTTTTGTTCAAATCGACCAATGACGATTCTTGACACTTTTAGTTTCGAAATACAACTTTTAAGTCACGCTTATTTTCTCTCATGCTTCCTTATTGGTATAATTATTTTATATAGTAAAAAAATAGCAATTGTAGGACTCAATGAAACATTGTCTATGTTTATGGTAATAGTGACCTCAAAACAGTCTCCTAAAAATACACAATAACATTGTTGCAAAAAGATTTTGTTCAAATTTCACATGGATCATTTAATCATATGGTTTTGTATGATAATTCTTAAAATTAGTTTGTTTGTATTTAAGCACAAAGCTACACAATGGGCTATCTGTGCTCTGCCCACCACGAGTATCGAAACCCGGATTCTAGCGTTGTAAGTCCGCAGACATACCGCTGTGCCACTGGGGGGCACCTCTTAAAATTAGCTGTAAAGCATTTACACGTATTTCCATAGATTTCAAAACCGGGAGGGGGGCACGTGTCCCCAATAATTAATTAATTTACGATTTTCTAGTACACAGCAAATAATTCAATTTGTATCTTAGATGTACAATACAGTACTTGTTATTGTTGAATAATATTTAAATCGTTTTGATTGATTGTCAGACAATTATTATCCGTTTATGACTGCCCTCCCCAACGTTTTGTATCTTCAAACGTGCCTGAGTTCTAAATTGTTTAATCATATAACTTTGCGTGGTAAAGTTTACTTTTAAAACATTTACCACGTGTTTTTAAGTGATGTACAAAAGTTTTATAGCATGTGGAGACATTCATATACAAAGGAAACCACTGTTACAAACTAAAACACAGGCTAAACACACGTTTTATGTATATTAAGCCTATAACATAAATGCGTAACTTGGTTACCTTGTAATCTTATCAGGAAAAGAAATGTGGAAAGAGAACCACAAAAAATCTTTACGTTACAGTTCGTTCTTTACTTTTTACATACACTAGTAACTACATACACTAGTAAACAGAATGCAAAGGTTACTTGACAAGATGATTTCACGCAGTGTCCCCTGTCGAGCCAGTTTACAACTATAAGGCAAGAAAACAGCGGGCTAGCTGCTCGAACTTTCAGTATACGCTTCTGGTGTGTATTTAATTAAATGCACGTGCCGTTCGCAACACCTATCAACAAGTCTTGCTACACGGGTGAATCGTTCATCCTGCGCTATTTGTAAAATAAAGGTGGTAAGAAATCACGGTTTTTCCGAGTCTATATCTTATGAATTTTCAACTATTATATCTCGAACTCTGTAAGTATCCTCTAATGTACGAAACCTAGCATCGTCACTTTGACATCTGTTGTGTTAGGGTATGCACGTGGACATCAAGAAATAAGACGATTCTCAAAAACTGGCTTCTTTATCGATACCACGTCACTGCTACGACTCTCGAAGCTAGTTGCTCGGCTACGTTTACATTCCCAATGTACTTGTATGACTTATGTAAGGTGGACTGCTATGACTTGTCCTATTTCGGTCTTCTCGTGTTTCGAATACTGGTAACTAGGCCTAGCTGTTCAAGGATTGTCACAGATAGCTTCTTTGTTAAGAGTCAAGTTTCTGCACTTCAGAAACTGTGAAGAAAAAAAAACAACAAACCTGTTCTTTTGTGCAACTGTTTTCGAAATTTTTCTATTGTTTGTGTTCAGCTACGTTTGTTCGAAAACATTTTTGAGACCAAATACAATCTCAATGTGGTGATATTATATGAACAGATATGGTTTTATTTTTACATTATTCTTTAATGAAACTACAGTTTAGATCCGACACAAGGTCATCGGTGCCTTAGCTAGAGGTAGGCGTTGGCTACAGCGGAAATTGTAACAATTCTTTAAAAAAAAAAAAAAACTGGTTTCAGTTGGAGTTGAGATTCAGCACTTGGAACACAGAAGAAGAAAAAAAAGTGTTGGCTGAAAATTAAAATAACTTGAAAAAATATATCATAATGAAACTGTTTATCGAGTTTTAAATAAGTCATCCGTTTACCTTTTGTATTTCATTTGTTATAAATTTCGGTTTTCGTGATGTAGAGGTTATGATACTCGGGCTGTGAATCCGAGGGTTGATGGTTCGCGTCCTATTGCCACAAAAAACGTGTTCCGCACTTTGAGGCCCCGGGTGCGCTATAAAAAAATGACGACCAAATATCACTATTTGGTAAGACAAGAGTAGTTCAAGAGTTGGCGTTTGGTGCCGTTGTGTAGCTCTCTTCTTTTTAGTCAATCAGTTCAAAATTAGGGACGACTGGGCGCAGATAACTCTTGTGTAGCTTTGCGCTAAATTCTGAAACAAATAAACTCTGCGTTTAAATTCAAGGTTTTTAAGTCCGATAAATACAGGTTCCATCATAACTACTTAAAGCTATTTGATGTAAGTGTCGATAATCGTTATAGAAACGTTAAAGCAATAATGATAAACTTGAAAGTGGGGGAGGGAACAGGCGTTTGAAGATTATCGCGATTATTTCTCTCTTAAAAAAAATAAACCAGAGTTCAATACTTTCGGAGATGTAAGTTTTATTAATTCAGCGTAAAAAGCCTCTTTACTTGTAGTTGATAAGCGCTACGTTTGTTAATTTTTTTTAATTTCGCGCAAACCTACTCGAAGACTATCCGCGCTAGCTGTCGCTAATTTAGAAGCGATAGACTAGAGAGAAGGCAACAAGTAAACACCACTCACCGCCAATGAAACGTAGCACATTATAACTCCCCCGCTGATAAAAGGACGAGGATGTTCAGTGACAGGATTCGAACTCGCGACCCGCAGATTGCGAGTCAAGCTCTCTCATCACCAAGCTATGCCAGACCAATGAGCACTAAATATCGTAAATGTATGTTTGAAAAAATTTTAGAACCCTCTTCGCGTCCCTGAAACGTTGGTAGTTCTTCTTATGCTGCCCGGCATGGCCAAGGTGGTTAGGGAGCTCGACTCGCAATCTGAGGGTCGTGGGTTCGAATCCCCGTCACACAAAACATGCTCGCCCCTTTCAGCCGTGGGGGCGTTATAATGTGACGGTCAATCCCACTATTCATTGGTAAAAGAGTAGCCCAAGAGTTGGCGGTGGGTGGTGATAACTAGCTGCCTTCCCTCTTGTCTTACACTGTTAAATTAGGGACGGCTAGCGCAGATAGCCCTCGTGTAGCTTTGCGCGAAATTCAAAAACAAAAACAAACACATTTTTTATGCTCATCCAGTAGGTTCTAAATGTGGATGATTGAGTAATGAGCGCTGAAAGTAACGCAAGAAATGTATTTTCAGTCAGCCTTGACGTAAGCAATGCCCTATTGACCCAATGTAACCCAGAAGCTTTAGAGATTAGGTCTACGTGCATACTAAGAGTTCAGAAATCTGATAGGATTGGTTAATAACCAAGACCGAATGACAACAATGATTGCAATGTAAGCTCTCCACTTTACATATCCACCCAAGATTTTTCTTCTTTTTTTTTTTTTCTGTCAGCATACTAAGCTGTTTGTTTTTAAACTACTTCTATAGTCTTTTGTGTTCAATAACTCTTGTACTTGTCAACAAACCGCTGAAGTATTTCTTATTTGGTCATCTGAAACGTTCGGTTTGAGGGCAACGTTTCGATTTGCCAGAGCAGATCTTCTATAGCTTCGAAATAGCAGATGTTAAAAGTTTACAGCAGAATCAGAGACCACACCTAAGCTTTACCTTAAAATACGTTTTTGTTAAGTTGCATAATTTTTTATTTGTATGGATTTATAAAGGTTCAATTTTAAATAGGCTGTTTTCTTTAATGCAACTCAATTTTAACTCCATTCACTCATGATTTAACTATTGGAAAAATCATTATATCGTTTTCATAATTAAATGGTTGGTTTTGATGTCCAAGATTCGAGCCTGCAATATGCCGAAGAATGTACTCTGTACTTTCAGTTGTGGGAACGTTATAAGAGTGACAGTCAATCTTGCTATTCGTTTCTGTGTAAACGGCGAGTATACTGACTGGTTGTCCTCCCTCTGATCAGAAGTAAATTATGGACCTGGTCGTTTAGCATAAACTACTAGTCAGGTTGGAAGTACAAATACTAAATCTATTGAACAACTCTGCCGATAGGGCTTTTTGTTTAATAAAATGGCTCATCAGACTGACTGAGCCTGTTTCTTTATTTTCAATTTTGCGCAAAGCTACACGAGGGCTATCTGCGCTAGCCGTATCCAATTTAGCGGTGTAAGACTAGAAGGGAAGGCAAGCTAGTCATCACCACCCACCGCCAACTCTTGACCTACTCTTAGTGAGATTGACCGTCACATTATAACGCTCCCACGGCTGAAAGGGCAAGCATGTTTGGTGGGACAGAGATTCGAACCCGCGACCCTCAGATTGCGAGTCGAGCGCCCTAACCACCTAACTATGCTGGGCCCTGAGTGAGCTACAAAATAAATTATCAGCTGAAACATGGTTATAATAAACACTTTACGAAACAATAGATCTTACAGGGAGGATAATTAAATACTACAGGAGGGGGACATTAAATCTTACAGGAGGGGATATTAAATATTACAGGAGGAGCATTAAATCTTACAGGAGGGGACATTAAATCTTACAGCAGGAGCATTAAATCTTACAGGAGGAGCATTAATTCTTACAGGAGGAGACATTAAATATTACAGGAGGAGCATTAAATCTTACAGGAGGGGACATTAAATATTACAGGAGGAGTATTAAATCTTACAGGAGGGGCATTAATTCTTACAGGAGGGGACATTAATTATTAAAGGAAAAACATTAATTATTACAGGGGAATGCATTAAATCTTACAGGGAAAAGCATCAAATCTTACAGGAGGGGACATCTGACAGGAAGGGACATTAAATTTTAACTGCATACAATGCGTGCTCTGACGTAAGAGTCAATATTTCGAATTCGCACTGTAAAATACTGACGTGTTTTTCGTGGTTAAACTCACTTTTTACTGTAAATTCACGACAACGTAACATACCGTATAGCGTATATTACACAGCCTAACCTAGTTGTTTTGAGGGTGTTTAGAAACGTTGGGACACTCTAACAAAGGAAGTGAACACTAGCGCGGAAACATTTTAATTCGGAGTAGAGTGGCTATGCCTGTCTGATTTTAGATGAGCATCTGATTGTAACTAGGTTACCCATAAAATCATAAATAATATTCAACGTTAAATTGGTACACAATTAAAAACATTTTATTTAGGCCTATCTATGGCCTTCAAAAAGTTGATGACTCTACATGTTTCGACGTTGCAACGTCATCCTCACATCTGCACACCACGCGTATCGAAACCCGGTTTCTGGCGTTGTAGGTTACTGTGTTACTGGGGGGTGGGGCAGGGTACAGCAGATAGCCCAATGTGGCTTTGCTCTAAAAAAATAAAAAATAAAGCGAAGATTTCACATACGGGTAACTGCTCTTTGTCTATTGCTGGGATCTTACCTCAAATTACAACATAATAAGGTCTCAATCTTACAGCTAAGCTAGTGGGCGGTAGGTAATTAATTACTGCTAAGTTCGTAAAGTTGGAGTTTAGAGAAAACTCTGTTTGCTACAGATGGTGCACAAAATAAATATTTTTCTGTTGTTGTTTTTTTTTTAAAGGGAAATCGATGTTCATAAGAAATGTTTGTGAACAAATATAAATTACAGGAAAATTTGTTGAAAATTCTTGCATAGCAGATAATCATTATTAATTCTACTATCAATTGTACAGAACGTTTTACGCCCTCGGCGTCGTGCTTTGAAACAAGTACTTAATCTTTTCCTCTCAAGTTCTTGTCCAAGGTCTTCTTTCAACATTCAGAACTACTGAATTTTAAATAAACAGGTTCTTACTAAGTCTCTAGTTTGACCACGATCTTTGAGCATAAAAAAATATACAAGTTTTGGCACGCGAACGACATGAAATTTGTTTGTCTTGTTTTAAAGCAAAGCCACATTGTGTCCATCGCAAGGAATCAAACCCTGGATTTTACCGTTGTACATTTACCTGTACATTATGAATAACTGAATTTGTACAACAGTTTAGTTTGGATGTAGTAATGCTACCCTAAGCTCACGAGGAGTTTATTAAAGAAATGCGAATTTTGATGGATACATTATACGTTTGTTGTTGTTAGCATTATATAAACTCTCAGATCTACCGCTCAGCCGCCAGGGGGCTATAGATAGCTAGATAGTTAATATAATGAATGGACGTTGGACGAACAAACCGAGAGGTAGGCAAATAAATATCGTAACTACAAATTGTGTTTCCCAAATGCCACAGGGATATACCACCGACTAGAGTTTAAACTGTTTAATATGTAAATTATTAGTGTCTTTCATATAAAGTATTTT